TCATCTTTTTCTACTCCAGTTCCATTTTTGTAACATAAAGCAAGATTAAATTGAGCACTGGCATGTCCTTGTTCAGCCACGTTTTTATACCATTCAACTGCTTTTTGTTCATCTTTTTCTACTCCAGTTCCATTATCACAACATACAGCAAGATTATGTTGTGCACCAGCATGTCCTTGTTCAGCTGCTTTTTTATACCATTCAACTGCTTTTTGTTCATCTTTTTCTAATCCAGTTCCATTATTATAACATACAGCAAGATTAAATTGAGCATTGGCATGTCCTTGTTCAGCTGCTTTTTTATACCATTGAACAGCTTGTCCAAGATCTGTTTCTGTTTCTATTCCATGTGCATAAAAGAATCCAATCAGCCAAAAAACATTGTCCACAATCAGTATGAGCCTTTAATGTAGCCAATGAACTTTCTATTTCTTGGTTATCATTATTTTGCATAATAATAAGCCAATTTTTTATAAGATCAGCTATTTGTTTTGTAGATTTCCTCTTAAGCTGTAACTTGTTGTATAATACTGACAACTCATTAGAAAGAGAGTGGTCTTTAATCTTCTCTTCATATTGGTTAGTATCACATTTTGGTAATTGATTCAGGTTTCCCATTATATTTTTTAATCTATGATAGCATTGTTCACTGGATGGTCGTTTTTTTGAATCTGTATCCCAACATGTTGTATATAAATTTTTATACTCCTCTGGTGTTCCTGGAACTACATCATGGCGACCACCATTCAGCCTATAAATCCGAATGTCGAAAATATCTTTGAATTCCCCGCATGGATATTTTCTGCTGGATATTTCCCATAAAATAATCCCAAGGCTAAAAATATCAGATTTCTCATCTCGTTTACTATCATTGTCAATAAAACATTTAGGATCAAGGTATGCATAAGTTCCCCGGTGATCTGATACTGAGAGAGTCTTTCGTTGTAACAATTTTTCAGATGTCCCAAAATCCGTAATCTTAGCCGTTTTCCCATGAATTAATACATTGTTCGACGACTTTTGATAACATAAAAAGCTATATATCAATGTATAATCTACGTTAACAAAATTTATTAATAAGAGTATACTTACCAAATCTTTATGCAAGATTCCTACTCTGTGAATATATCTCAGTCCATTAATGATATCCAACCCGAGTTGACAATTGGCAGGCCAATCTAGTTTGATAGATGGCGTCGATAAGTATTCTCGTAATGAACCATTGTCAGCATAATCGAAGACCATCAAGTATCTTCCTTTGATATCTGTTGAAAAATTAAAAAGTATTATAATCAAATCCATTTTATAATACATCGAATCTTTTCGCCGTTACCTTTGCTAACACCAAGGAATCGAATTATGTTGGGATGGTCATCTACTCTACGATGGATCTTGAGCTAGAATGTGTTACGAAACGAACAAAATATAAGAAATACGCAAGCTTTAACAGCTCCGTCATGCATGATTACAAACCTCGTTTACAAAGCATTTAAAGAATTCACCCTCATTCCAATAATCGATCATCTTGTATGCAACGGTGATGCCTGATGTTACTACTTTTGCTTTGAGAACCACACTAAATGCGCCATGACCTATGCAGTCTTTATCGACTAAGTCATCATAAGGATAGAACCGAATGTATTCACTTTCAATACACTTTTCTAACCATTCCTTCTCAGAAGCAATTGATGTCATCGTTTCTGTTACTGTTGAAGTCTCTAACAGTATACATCATCAGTGATATTAATATCGTGTTACACGCATTCGTAACACACAGATTGTACTTAATGAGTTTAGGTTAACTACTTACTACTACCATGGTAGTTCTTGCGTGCAGTGCAGTTGCTCGATCGCAGTTAGAAAAAGACAGTTCTTTCTCTGTTTAAGGTCAAACACGACCCAGATCTCTTTATTTCTACGTTTCGACTCTAAAATAACAATGTTACTGTTATAGTGACTTTACGCTAATCTGTTCGTGCGGAAATGCGATAATCACATGTACAAGAACGACACATCTGATAGGATTGTAAAGAAACGAAAGCACTGGATGAAAAGTGGATTAAATTGTAAACCCCCCCCCCTCTACTCACTTGTCCAACCCAATGTGAAGCTTATATGCAAAAAAGAGTAAAACACACCCAAGGAGATGTTATTAAATAAAAACAATCATCCTGACTTGATAAAAATTGCTAATCAAGTCTCTTATTGATCATCGACGCCATCTTGGTGACTTAAGAATGAAGATTTGCACATTCAGATAAAGATGTAATGTGAAGAGTAAGATGAAAAATTGCAAGCAAAGTAAGCATACAATTATCGCGTTCAATAATTCTGAATACTTCGTCTGGTTTGCTGCAGCTTGCTCGTATAAAAAATTCTAGCGTTATTCAGGCCTTTATTACCTCGCTTAAAATGTTCACGAAGATATCAGTGTACTTGAAATGCCATCGATCGTTATTCATGTTGAGTGACTCCTAAATAAACAATCAGTGTAACATAAACTGCATAAAACAACGGTGATGTGGACTTTAAACTCCGAATGTAATATTTATGACCGAATGTAGCCAGACAATGAAAGTTGACAGACACTAAGAAAGTGTGGGCAAGTGCATTTTAAAAATTATCCATGCTTTGACTAAATTTCACCTTGTGTTCATTATTGTCATTGTTATTTATAAACCTGTTTGTTTTTTATATAATTCACTTGATTATTCCCTTCCGCAGTTCAACGCTATTATAATGTGGGGTTCATCCGATTTGCCCGATATTGCTCGAGAAGACATTAGGGTGGTTGTTGGAATAGGTAAGCTAATACGCAAGCAAAAGGCGTTATAAAAGGGTAAAGAGAGGGTATGCATATGAGAAAACGAAGGGTATGAGAAATGACAGTATGAAATTAGAAACAGAGTAAGCAATATAACACGCGAAAACAATTACAAGTGGACTAACTTTATCTTAAATAACAACTTGTCCCAAAGATTTTGGAACCACATTCTCCGGTAATTTCTGATTTAATGCTACATTACCTGGCTTTCATCGCATTCATGACACTGACTCTGGCCAATTTATTTGGTAACTAAAAGGGTTCGCTTATGCTAATAAGAAAAATCCGGATGTAATTGAAACACACGAGACATGGTAAGACTTTTAGTATCGTGACTCGTATCATTCTGTCGAAGCTCTTCAATAATTGACTCTTCAACCTTCCACACCTCTTTTCCCGTCAATGCAAAAAGGCCAGAACAGAAAGGAGTACTGAAAACACCCACAGTACTACAGTACGACTCTGCTTGGACAGTCACTCAATGGGGCTCTCCAGCTCTGGCTACTCGACCAAACCGGAAACGCATGCAAAATCAACATGACAAGAGGCCTGTGGAATTATTTAAATTGCATCTAGGAAATATGAAGGAGAATGAGAAACCTCCATTACCAGCTGGGTTGGACTTTAAAAAAGCTATTACAGATTATTTAAAAGAACTGAAAAAGGTACTTGAAAATGAGCGGGGAAGTGATTGGAACAAAACGGAATAGATTGGATCACAAGCATCAAGCAACTTGCTTCGTAACGTGCCTAACTTGTTATTTTCTTTCTTCACACTATCCAACACAATCCTACTTGTTGCAATGACTAGCTAATGACAGACGCACTTATTACAAGATGGCCGGGTCTTGACTTTAATAGACATGTATTAAAAATTATGACAGTTCCTGCTGAATACGATGAACGTGCTCGATACAGTATGCGTATGTGTTCTTACCAGGCTGGCTTGATCGATACCGTTAATTCGGATCTGTTACAGTTTACTAGTGAACGTGAGTACTGCAAAGAAGGCGAGGGGGGAGGGTTCTGGTGATTAGAAAAATGTTACGGTAAGAGTATGTAATAAGGTTAGAGAAATAAGCCTAAAAAAGATTGGTTCGAGTAATGAACTCAAAGAAGGAAATATAAAGAATGTAGATTGAAAGCATTGGAAATGTCTGATATCCGTGTCTTTTTTTATTTCTAGCGGAAGCGGCTGCGATATATTGCATGCGCGTCTTAAAAGAACACGATTTGAAAGAAGGATGTAAGTCTTTTGACATATTGAATCGGAAACCCCTTCAATACTTATTCCAAGCATATCACTAACTGTACTTTCCCTATGTCTAGCTACATTCTTAATTGTTGACTGCGGTGGCGGAACAGTAGATTTGACAATGCGCACACTTCAATCAATCGGCCGCTTGAAAGAAGTCACTGAACGTACTGGTGATTTTTGCGGTGGCTCTTACGTTGATGCCGAATTTCTCAAATTCCTTTCTCGAAAAGTGGGCGAATCTGCTGTCGAACTCTTAAAAAAAAATCACTACACACAGTTACAATACATGGTTCAGGAATTCTGCAACAGGGTGAAATTCGAATTTACGGGAGATCCTAAGAGATACGCTACAAAAGAAATGGATCTCGAAGAAGTTTGTCCAGTATTGATGCAATATGTGAAAGGCGACTATAAAGAGCGAATGGAAGAGGCAGAATGGTTGATTGAACTGAACTTTGCTGCTGTGAAGGATTTCTTTGACACAGTCGTTGGCAGAATTATTCGGTTAATCAGAGGGCAGTTGGCAAAGGCGAAAGCAAAGGGAGTCAAATGTCAAGCGATGTTCTTGGTTGGTGGATTTTCAGAATCGCCTTATATCTTGAAAAGGGTTAAAGAAGATTTCGGGAGAGAGGTCAAGACTATTGCGGTACCGTCCGAGCCGATAGCAGCTGTTGTTAGGGGTGCTGTGTATTATGGTGAGAAGACATGAGAGCGCGGCAGCAAAGATTATTTCTGCGTTTTGAAAAATAAATTCTGTGCTTCTGGGTTGTTTTGTTTTCTTTTCTTTATTTGCTTATTCACATGCTACTTCTTTGCTTTTCACACAAGGTCTCCAAATGGATTCGATCCAAACCCGTGTCCTAAAATCTACCTATGGTGTCGAAATCTATCCCGAATGGAAATCCACCGACCCAACCACACGGAAAACGAACGATGGACGCATATATAAATTCTATCGTCTGGCTACCCGCGGTACCGAAGTCAAAGTTGATCAACAGTTTGGCTACACTGCATACCCGGTGTTTCCAACTCAGACTGGAATGAAATTTGATATTTACACTACGTCGGAAACGGATGCTACATTCTGTGATGAGAGAGGAATGTCGTCATTTGGAACACTTGAAATAGGTATGGAAATTAAGACAGGAATTGCCGAAGAGATAGTGCTAAATTTCCAAAGGTTTAAAGTTTCGAGAAGGAAGCAGACTATTCAAACTAGAATGCATAAACTTGAACAATTGCTTACATGTCAACTGTAATGTGTTCCATTATATAGAACTACCTGATACGAATCTTGGAACAAATAGGCCTGTGGACTTTACCCTGACATTCGGTAAGATGGAGACAAGAGCTACCGCCAAGAATAAGACCAATGGAAAGGTCTATGAAGCAAAATTCAAATTGCAATTGTAGATTGTACGTTGCTGGGTGTATACACACATATTGTGTATGTATATCTTTTATGCGTTGTTAGGTTTCTTTGATACACTATCTAATTTGTTATTGTAGATTTGTTTAAATAAAGGACTCAATACTATAATAAGAGATCTCAATTAAAGATATTGATCAGAATATTACAACAGAATAGAAAATTAGGTAAAAAGATTAATGAAGAGAAATAATAATAATAACCATGACAACGCCCTACAATGCAATTATAACAATTTTTTCGTGCGTTATTACATTTTTTGCGGTTGCAAGATCCACACTTAATGTGTTCAATTTACAAAAAGTTATGGTGAACCTTCCATCGTAAGTAATGCAGTTTATTATCGACATAATAATACAATAGAACAGCCATCAATTGATAATTGGCGTTCGTTACAGTTTGAATAAATCTGCCTGTAAGTTATCCGCCTGTAAGTTATGATCGACATTTATCGTGACGCAATCTGGCATTTCCTGGAATGGTTAGTCTGCTATCAACTGTTATGGAAAAATTTCTGACGATAGTGGTAATAGAAATTTTAACCTCTATATTTTTCAAGCCTGCATTTCGACCGTTATTATTAATCATCTGATCGTGATGTTGCAACGTGGCTTTGCTGCAACAAGAAGACTTTCATTATATACCGTTCAGGCACTTAGACAGAAAACCACAAGATCGATATGTACCAGAGCGATGAGACAAGGTTAGAAATTTAAGATTTGTCCTCGACGAATCCGGCGATCTTTTTGACAAAATAATATTGAATTCCTCGTTGTTCTCACTAGGCCCATTGAAACCTCTAATAATAAGAACTTATAATCAATCAGCAAGTCTTCTCGGTAAAAAGAAAAAAGATGAAAGATTTCGACCTAAGTGAGTTAGACATGGACCTGCAGCTTGCTCATATTTTATGACTTTACTTGAAACAAAGGTGCAACCGAAGATGTGGGCGAAGACGTCAGCGAACTTTTTCCAACTCACACTGAGACGACAACTGATAAGGATGAACAAAAGGAAATTCCTCCTGGAGTATCTGAGAAGTTTTATAAATTTTACAACGATATTATTTCGAAATTGAATCCCAAGACCTTTCTGGCTTTTCCACTTGCACATAGCAGTTTAAACGGTCTGATATACCACGTACTCACGCTACAGGAAGCGGCATTAATACCCGAAGTCATCGAACGGTGGCGTTTGTATCGTCTACCCATCAATGTTGTGACTACGCGACTTCTTGTCCGAAGACTTTTAGAGATTGAAGCTCTAGAAACACTGTTTGATATTTTGGCAGATAGAGCAAAATACAGTCAATTTCCGTCGTATAAAGACTTTCGTCGTCTTATGGCCGCCTTTGCGAGTAATATTGGTAAAACGGATGGATCACAGAGCATTGAAGAAGATATGGCGATGCTTGACAATGTTTTCAAGACGTTTGGTTTAATGACTTATTACGATCTTTCACACTTTGATCCACATTCCTATGCAATACTAATACTTGCATCGATGAAGATTGACACCGAGGATGCGTGGAAGAGAGCCGATGTCAGCACGCAAGAACTGATGTCTCTCTTATCGACAGAGGATATCAGGCAAGTAGAGGAGCGGGAAGATGAAGAGGAGCGTAGTCAAATTGATCGTTATGAGCGCAATAAAGCTCTGCGAACGCAAATCGATCAGCTGCATACGAAACTCGAGCGTACGGAAAGGATTACAGCTTGCATACAAGCAGCGACAGTGATGTCTGAAGCCTACTCGCTTCGGGGAGAAAGTGAAAAAGCGAACGAGTTAGAATTGTGGAAAAACGATTTATCGAAATCTTTGAATTAGGCGTCTTTATTTTTGATAATGCCAGTTGCGGTAGTATGGTATGGGATCACCCTAATATAACGTAAAAGATGTCCCACCCCCTTCGAAGCGTACATTCTGACGTAATCATAAATGTCGTTATTTCAATCGACCATGTGACTAGGAAATAGTTAGTCAACTATTCGGAGTTTCGATTGAATTTTTGTAGTGAACTGACACTCACAATTTTTACTATCAGTATTAGTTCCCATCGCAAGTCGAATTTCTTCGCGTCCTTTAATTGTGCTTATGGACATTTACGCGTCAATAAATCTAGTGTTCTTATATTAAATAAAAGAAAGAGAACGCGTAATGTCTGCTCGAACAGACGAACCAAACTTGTCTCGAAGTGTTGTAAGCGGTCCTTGGTGTCTAATAGAGTCAGACCCTGGTGATTATGATGGATACAAAGTATTGTCTACTATCGACTTTGGTTCTCCAATGTTTACCTGTTTTTTTCTGAATACCCGCCTACACTTTGTATAATTCTCAAAGGTGTATTTACTGAACTGCTCGGAGGACTTGGTGTCCGAGGCGCACAGGTAGAAGAAGTGTGGTGGTCGATTGAAGAAACTTCCGAATGGGAAAAGTTTGGGTATGTGTTTCTATGGTTTGGCAGATTCGCCTTTTTCGGTGAATTGCATCCTACTAACACTGCTTTTATTTACTTTCTACCGTAGAGATGTGTATGGTCTGATATTCTTATTCAAGATGAAAAAAGATCTCCGGCTGAACATAGATATCGACGACGATGAAGACTGGAAAGAGGTCTTTTTTGCTAATCAAGCAAGTAGAGACAAGTGTTTATTGATGTCCTCTAAACTATGGCAGGCATTAACAACTCTGAACGCATCGCTACAAAATACATATCAATAGGTTATTGAAAACGCATGTGCAACACTGGCATTATTAAATATTGTACTTAATAGAGAGGAGTTGGATCTAAGCGAGGAATTGCAACAATTTAAAGAATTTACTAGTGATTTTGCATCGCCGGTAAGCAAAGAAAAGCTATACGTATCTGTCAACAATCAGATAATTTGCAGTCTGCCACAGTACTTACATTCGATTTTTAGTTGCGCGGATTGGCTATTACCAATCATGCACCATTCAGAGACGTACATAACTCGTTTGCACGGTAATTACGCGAGGTCAGGTGTTTTTGACAGACCTCTGTAAGATCATATTCTCACAGTTTCATGTTCTCTATCAGGTTTGATGCAATATACCCGTTATTCGCCAAGGAAACAGCAAAGGCAAAGAAGAAGAAGATGTCGGAAGAACCAGAGGAAGCTTATCACTACGTTGGTTTTGTCCCAGTGAATGGCTATGTCTGGGAAATAGATGGATTGGCGCGCGCACCGATAAAGCTCGGTACGAAGAGCATTTCTTGTTTACGTAGATTTCTCATCTTTGCACCTTCACTATCTAGTCCTCTCATACAGTCCTTTCGTTTTTCCCCAACGATGTATATATAAAGGTGAATGTACACTCGATAATTGGCTCGAAGTTGCTCGAGCATCGGTGGAGGAAAAGATGCGAGAGTAAGATATACGACATATGACCGGCACAACCAACGAATCAGTCATCTAACTCTCCCTGCCCCGCGTCTTTCTCCAATTCATAGATTCGCCGAAGAAAATGCGCAATTTAATTTAATGGCTGTTGTAAAAGATCAAGTACTCGAGCACGAAGAAAAGATGAAAGCTCAGATATTTTTAAAGGGTGTTGTTGAGAAGCAACTTGATGAAATAGACAAAGAGTGGGCCAAGTCTGATAATATTCAACAAGTAATTTTGAGCGGGTGGGATACTTTTGAAAGGCTTCTGACGGCATGACATGATAACATGCATTTTGTCTTATACATAGATTGAATTTATATCACTGAACGAGGAGGAATTAAGAGAAACTGAAGTAAGGACACAAGTTACAGAAGAAGTAAAAAAGATAATGAAGTTGAAAACCGCATCTGAGTTTCTTAGCTTACGTTCATCGATAATCTCGAGGATCGAACAAGAAAAGTCGGCAGTGGTAAACGAACGAGAGAAGCAAGAACAGTACCGGGTGAGATTATAAATGCAGATTTGTAATATTGTTCTTAGACAGACAAATTCATCGTGATTTCTTTTATAGCTCGATAACGTAAGAAGACGCCATAACTACATACCCTTCATCAAAGAATTCGTAACGATTCTCCGTGAACGAGGTGAACTCGAAGACTTGGTAATAGATACTATGGGTCCTGACATTGTCAAATTTCTTGACGATGTTGACGGACTCGCGGAAGATAGCGGCGGGGAGACAATGGATACTGATAAAGTGAACAATATAGCAGAAGATGACGGGGATGTAATAATGGTAGAAAAGATTGCGAACGAGACGTAACTTAACGTGTGTCACGCAGGACGTGAAAACAATGAGAGTCAATCATAAGCAAGCAAAGAACAAAAGATGTATAGCGACTTAGAAGCGTGATCCGACACGGGGGATGTTAGTATATTTGGTTATAATAGTCTTGTTACAGCATTGTTACTAGTCTACGTTAAGGACAACTTTATTTTACATAAACCTAATTTGTATATGAAATGTTAGTATCACAATAGTATGATTATACGTCGTCATTTGGGGCAGGGGTTTGATCCTTTACGCGAGATCGCGTCACCGTGTGAGTTCTGATCGGATTACGCAAAGGTGATAGTGTATGCTCAGCAACTTATTGAGACAATGTAGTTTGGTAGAAGCTGATCTTTGGGAAAGAGAATCGGCAAGCGTTGTGTCACGAGAGTGAGGCTTTCAAATGGTGCAAAGGCTGCATTGTCCCTGTTGTGTCTGAGTTCGGGACTCCACTCGGTCCAAAACTGGTTGTCTCAGTTCCGAACCCAGACACTCAGTCCAGAACTCAGTTGTCTTGGTTCAGAACTGAGACAGGTCCCCAACTGAGGTACAACATTCCCTACATCGATTCTACAGTATAAAATACTTGGAACGAAAAAAATGATAGTAAAAACGCACGACATAATAATAATGTAGCTGTAGCACAAATTTGCTTCACGTACAATATCAAGTCAAACATCACATTATTTGTTATAGATTGAGTTTTATGTGTGAAGAATTACTATTTTCTTTTTTCAGTGTTTGACTTTTATCCTGTTTACAATAATTTTGAAATAGCAGAAGGATTATTACTATTATAGTTCTAATTGTGCACGGGAAAGATTCTTTCAGCGTTTGAGTTAGAGACCGTTTGTTTCATTTTACAATAGCTTTGAAACTAGCAAGAAGAGCTTTAATTGTTTAACATAGATATTGTCGAAAGGTATAAAAGTGAGGAAACCAGTAGTTATTTAAAAGCCGTTAATAGTTTGGAGAAATTCATTCGCGAAAACAGGTAACAAAGTAGTATTACACAATTCTTAATTAACAATTAGGGATATTAATATTGATAGCAAAATTTTTTATGTAACTTTGGCTGGAAATTGTAATAAAGGGAAATCTGTTTAATAGACGTAAATCGTTAAAATATCTTTTCTAATAAAGAATCCTCCATAAATGCAAAACCCGCAATGTAGCGTCCCAAGGCGTTGCATTTATGGAGGGTTTCGAAGTGCGTGCGGCCAATTCCCAACATATTGAGATACGTTTTCTGACAAAGTGGCGCATTGCGATCTCAATAATAACGTCAGCTTGCAGTTATTTCTCCACCATTCATTGCTTTCAGTTGGGCCATTAAAAATATGTCTTGTTTAGATCTAGAGAGAGCTTGAAACGCCTCACGTAACTCGGCAAACTTCTCTCTCGGAATTATTTTGAACAACCACAATTGCAACCTATCTCCATGAAACGCATCGCCTTTTCATATTCGGTGGAACCGTTACATTCATATACGGGTAATAATTTTTATTAATTTGTCGTTTTTACGATCGTATCAGCAGTGTTCTTTTGTTTATTAATAAATGGTCCGTGATGCTAAGTGACCTGCTTTTTAATCGAATTCAAACACGTTCTATAATTTCTGCTCCGAAAAATTTATTCCGTTGCTAAGGGTCAGATTCCGTACAGAAACCATGCTAGGAGGCGAAGTGCTACGTTAGTAATAGATACAGGATATGCCAGCGTGTTATCAATATTGAAAGTTACTACGAATGAGTGAGTATTCGAGATAATTAATTAACAATATTAATTAATATTAATATTATGATCATGTCGATTAGCTTATACTTAATACTGTAGTACAAATAATTCTATCGTTTTGACCATTACAATATTCTGAGTATAACATTCGTTATGTAGAGTTCTTACTGCTAACATTGTTACAATTCATTCATTGAACAGTGTTTGTAGCCTAGAAATTTATCCTATAAATCACTATTTTGTAAATCATATCGGGTACAGAAGAGAAACAGCTCTTACAACAATGCTGTGCAACTTAATGCTCAATTAAAAGAGAAGTCAAGAACACCTACGCATCTGACACAGAGTTCATCGGATCAAACAAAGACAGTAATTGGTGGGAGCAAGAAACAAGTCCGAGTCTCAGAGTGGTGTAAATGATGAGTAAACTGGGTGCAGCACAGTGCTCTCGCCTCATAAGAAGATAGATTTAAATACAGAAAAACGAATGCAACGTCAACAAAGAATAATGTAAGCGAATCATTGATTCTGTCTCTCAGAATAGTACGTGTAATGTCCTTGCTAGTACTATGAAGAAAAAAGAACAATGAGCTCCCCAGTAATTCTACAATAACGAGTAGTGTTTATTATTATGACGACAACTGTGAGAAAATGACATACAGATATAGATTAAGATAGCCTTACTTACCAATTAAATTACTCTCTCGGATTTAGTCAAAGGACTTTCTAAGGCACCTTAACAATGGGGTGATCATTCCTAATACTAACAAGATTAAGATATTTTAATTTCGATCACTTGCACATTTTTTTTGCTGACGGAGCTCAAAATAAGACTTTGCATTCACCAATATATCATTCTCTGCTTCAAGGACTCTCGCCTTAGAATTGGCCCGCATATGAGTCCCGTAGTGGCGACGAGGATTTCAATCCGTGGCAACCAGAGATACCTTGTATAGGCATCCGACAAAAAGAAGATGTGGCTTTTGGGGACTCTTTATTATTGTCGATAAGTAGGAAAGAATGTTGCATATGAGGAAAGACGGTCTTTGCGTAACGAATTTGTAATGTGAGTGAGTGTACATAACATTCTGCGCTACCGACAAGCATGTTTTATAATTGCCGCGCCGTGTTACCTGAATTATGCATTTATATTTACACTTTCGTTATTGCACTTCAAGTCATGGATAACTTGCAAGAAGACTATTATCCAGGAGGTTATTAGTTTAATTAATTTATCAATCGTTTGGAGAGTAAAAGCTAATATGAAACCATATTGCATATAGCGTCTTTAACGGCTCCAATTTTCTCCCCTTCCCAGGACAAAAATGAGTTCATATATCCTAATTATATGGTAACTTCGGAGCATACAACTGAATAACCTGCTAGTCTGCTGTCTATTATATTACATGCAATTTAACGAAACTTCTCATATCCTTGTTTATCGCCCACTAGCTCGCCACTGATTTGTTGAAGCTACTCGGAGGTGAACGATCATGGACCAGCAATGAAATCCAGGACGACCTGCACGTCTTGGAGCGTAATCGGTTGAGGACGGTGAGAGATTTGAGAAGCTTGTCTAAACGGAGTTGGAAAGTATGTGTCTTTCTAGAGAACACGACAGATGGAAATGAAAGAGAAAAGTGAAGAGAGACACAAGCTAAGACTGTTGTAAAGAATTCTAATGATTGAATGCTCATATGGTCTTTAGAAAATCGAATTACTTCCTCTTGTGAAGGATCTGTTGATATACGCTATAAGTAAGTGCTGTATATAACACAGTAACATACAAGCTTTTTACATTATCTTGTTAAAGTCACTTTTATATCAGGGTCTTGTGAACAAAAAACCGAATCTCAAGACATTCAAATAAAGGTGCGATATACAGAGCACACGAATCCGGTTCCCATCGTTTGTAACATGACCATACCGAGAAGTATCACGCTAAAGGATCTCAAGTTAAAGGTAAATTATAACGTCAAAATGGCGGGTATAGACGTAATAGACTAATTTCTGTCACTCTTTTGTTTTCTAGCTGGCAATGAATTTTAGATTCAATTTCGATAAAAAACTCGAATACTCTTTCTTTGACAAAGATGGTAATAATCTTGTCATATCATGTGACGAAGAACTCACTCTGGCTCTAGCCAACAAAGAGGGTTTTGTTCTTGACGTGAAAGAACATGTAGGAAATTATTAAAGTGAAATCGTTTGACTCCTGATTAGTAGTAAAGGGCTAATGGACTTTTTGTTATAAACTTTTAGTATACTTTCTGTTATCCCGACGTTCCACAAAAGTATCAAGCCACCGGAGTCTGTAAAGTCTTGGTTCCATCTCAATATTTGACTCGGGAACATGCCAGCAACGGACCTGTATGGGGAACCGACGTCTATACAACTGACTCGGCCTTTCTCAAAGGTAAATTGAAAAGTCAGCCAACTCAAAACAGATAACGTGAATGATGCACCGAAAATCGACTAATTTATTTTTTCAACGTGTAACTCTTTTTCAGCTCTTGTCCATTCGGGACTGATTGAAGTGACCAGCAGTACCCCACCAAGATGTGATGTTCTTGTCACTGTTCGATACTTGCCAGGCCGCACAGGTTATCGCGGTAGTAAGCGCCATGGTATCTCCTCCGATACTACGGGTAAATACGAGTCCAGCATGTCATTCATGGCCGTACAAAAGGTTCCCCTATGATAATGCGGATCACAATATTAAGTACGCAAATAATATAATATTTAATAATCAAATGTAAAAGCCACCTGACATAAAGGGGGATATTATTCCGTGAAGTATCGATACAAAGGTTCCAAGCAAAGTATGTACAGTGATAAGTATTTCCCCACCCATTACTTTATTAAAAACTACTTCATAAATTGTGATTTTAATTTGGCAGGGGAGTGTTAAAGTTTGAAACAAGCAGATTTTATCAAGTAATTTTAATAATCGGTTCTTTTCCCAATAATTTCAATAACCTGTTGACAACAACTTTTCATCACATCAGGAATATTATTCCGCTACTCCGCCATCATCCTTGAAATAGAACAAGAAATAGGCTATAGGCATGAGTATAGGCATGAGCTTTGTTTTGCTTTTTACACGACGCGGGCATGGAAGTTATCAACTTTTTTCGTCACGCACTGTATTTATAAATTGAGTAACACAAACAATTAACAAGGAAAATTAAACAATGGTACTGTCGTGATGTTTATTCTGTCTCTGATTTTAGTCTTGGTAATAGTGATTCTCTGTGTAGCATCGAATATACTATCCTCGACGGTAGAATCCCAAGTTAACTCAGAACAGTACTTCACTATAACCAGAATACCCATAAAAATATCATAACAACACAACGATTACAATTGCGCATTCTAGAATGAGCGGAATAACCCTCAAGTACATTAATTCACATCGATATTAAATCTCAGTTTCATATCAGCACTCTCTGCCATTGACATGAATGATAAGCGGAACGTGAAAGATTTAAATAAAAGAAATCGACGTTGACAATTTACATGGACAATGAATACGAGTGTTAATGCGTTCTTGATAAATCATTAATTGCACTCCGACATTATCAAAGTCGTTATGTTTTTAGTCGAATAAAATCAGTTGGGACAATATTATTTCAACGATTGGATTTTAATCATAAAATAATAAGGACATTTATGATCGAATTAGAAAACTATTCCACTTTTGAACTTGTACTATTTTGAACACAATTAAAATTATACCGGGCAGCGAACCAACATCGTATATTAACGGCACAGAGAAGTTCACCTCCTCTTAAACTCTTTAATGCTCCAAGTTTTTTACAAGTTTCATATCTCTGGGGCCTGATAAGGATAGTGATGTCATCGTCCTTGTTTAGGATCGTTGCCGTCTTTAATATCCGGCCCATTACCTTACAAAAGAGATCTTTAATGCAGAGGGAGAATAAGAAGGCCCTCTCATACACTGTAATCGTTAAAGTTGCATTAGTTTGTTGCGACTGGACTAATTGTAATAGCCTACAAGTTGATCAATTAATAGTAAATCGATGGACAAGTATATCAAGAAATGTGTGTTTAGTATAGATATATTATTGAGACGAGCGAATTCTGAGCTATATATCTTTCTAGGAATTAGCGACTATTATAATTTCAATACGAATCAGAAGTAGTCTCACAAGAATTTCGGAACGGGTGTGTTGGTGTATTATTATTATTATTATTTATGTATGACGGCCAGAATGTTATTGGTACGAAGGTTCTTATTCCTTTGAGCTATTACATTTGTAGCGCTATGTTTATTACACTTAGACTTACTAGTCTTCAAACCCATGAATAAGTCGCTAGAGGACCGTCAACCAGGAGGTTGTAGTTCAATTAGTTTATCAATTGGTTAAAGAGTAAAATCTGATATAAACTATATTGCATATATATAGCGTCATTGACGGCTCCAACTTCCTCTCCTTCTAAGGACCAGCAAGAGTTCCTATATCCTAATCATATGGTATGGTAACTTCGGAGCATACTATGAATCCTGCTTACACCATGGATTAATACTCCTGTTGGCGTGTATTATCTATGACAGCATTTCTCGCTATTAAAATCGTATCCTTGTTTATCGTCCACCAGCGAGCCGCTGACTTGTTAAGGTTACTCGGAGGTGAACGATCCTGGTCCGAAAGTGAAATCCAGATCGATCTGAATGTCTTGGAGCTTAATCGATTGAGGACTGTGAGAGATTTGAGAAGTCTGTCCGAAAAGAGCTGGGAAGTATGTGTTTTTATAGAGCGAAAAAGGGAGGGAGAAGGGAAGAGAGAGAGAGACGCTAGCTAAGGCTATCATAAAAAGTCTAATGATTCAATGTTCATGTGATATTAGAAAATCCAATTACTTCCTCTTGTAAAGGATCTGTTGACAGATGCTATAAGTAAGTGTATTATATAAATATAAGCTTTTTACGTTGCCTTGTTAAAGTCTCTTCGTATCAGGATCTTGTGAACAAAGCGCCGGATCTCAAGAAATCCAAATAAAGGTGCGATATACCGAGCGCACGATTACGACACCCATTGTTCGTAAAATGACCATAGCGAGGAATATCACGTTAGAGCATTTCAAGCTCAAGGTAAAATGCTAATGCAAATTCTTTTGCCATAGATGTGAATGGGACTAATTTCTGTTGCCCTTTTAGTTAGCAACGAATTATAATTTCAGTGTCGATAAGGAACTCGAATACTCTTATTGCGATGAAGATGGGGATAGGGTTATCCTATCATATGACGAAGAACTCACTCAGACTCTAGCCGACAAGACGTATTTAGTTCTTGACGTGAAAGCAACTGTAGGAAATTACTAAAGCATGAAGTCGTTTACCCCGTTGTAAAGGCTACTAAACTTGTTTTATAAACTTTTAGGGTGTTGACTATACTTTCTGTTATCCCGAAATTCCACGAAAATACGACACCCAAGTCTGTAAAGTCTTGATTCCATCCCAGTATTTAACACTTGAAAATTCCAGCAACGGGCCTGTATGGGGAACCGATATCTATACAACTGACTCGGCCTTTCTCAAAGGTAAAGTCAGCGCAGCCCATAACAGATGACGTGAATTATCACCCGACAAGTCAACTAATCGCTGTTCGAACATGTCTCTCCTTTTTCAGCTCTTGTCCACTCGGGACTGATTGAAGTGAACAATACCCCACCGAGTTACGATGTTCTTGTTACGGTTCAATACTTGCCAGGCCGCGTAGGTTATAGCGGTAGTAAGCGCCACGGTATTTCCTCCCGTAGTTGGGGTAAATACGAATCCAGCATGACATTCAAGGCTATAGAAAAGATCCCCTACGTTGAAAAGGCGTAAATCAAGTCTCGTAGTATGCATAATCTATCTTGTTGTCGTGTTCAACGTCTTAACTAATGGCAACATGGATCACGATACTAAATACGCAAAGAATGTAATATTAATAAGCAAAGCGCTTTCTCCACTTGACATGGGGGTGGTGTGGATATAATCCAGTAAACTAGAGCATTACGTCTGCCGAATTTCACGTGTTATAAAAAGGTCCCGAGCAATAAACACCAAAGCATGTAATATTACCATTGACCGACCTGGCTAATGTCAAGTCAGGAAGCAAGTTTCCATCCAAGGTGACCGCGGGAATCAAATTCGATAAGCTCACGGACAACTTGCAATCAATGATTTCATCTCGGACACATATCCTAAATTGAAAATAACGGCCGGCTAATTGTAAAGACTGACTATCATATGATTTATAAAGTATTTTTACTACTCACCTCCTAACAATTCTCAGCTCCTAACAATTCTCAGCTTCATGATAATATAACAACAACCATTAAATGGTTCATAACTTGCGTAAATGTTCTAATAACCTTTGCTTTGGACTAGGTTGCATTTTTGTATTCCCAGGTAAGAAGTAATGAATTATGACTAAAGAAGGATAAGCTCCATAGGGGTTTTCATATCACAACACTTGATGAAACATGAATATCCCTTTGCAAATTAGGTGAGGCAATATGCAAGGATATGTAACAACGCGGGGAAGTGCGTCAGTAAGCATCTATCCAATCTGAAAACTTGAATACAAACATACAAATGCTCAACAATGGAGCATTTCTACTACACCATCCACCGTCATTATAATTGCGCAGTATTAGATTCACACTGCCAAAAAAAAAAAAAAAAAGAAGAAAAAGACACAAGTCTATATATAACAAAGAGAACAAATGTTTGGCCTTCAATCGAATCGCCCCAAGCTTCCCAATTCAAAAACATCGTTAATTAAGTTTTATTGGACCTACCCAAATTTGGAGTCGCATTCCCTCAATAAACGTAATTCAAAAATAGCTTTAGTGTGAATGCCCGTTTTGATCGAGAGATCGTCACTCCGCCCGGTCCATTAAACTTCGGGTATTGTGGTTAATAGTTCCCGTATTGGACATTCAAAGAAAATTAGCGTAATAGTAATAGTAATGTAACAATTATACAGTAATCAATTTAGTAATTATAATGATAACGTATGCATACCAATTATAATATAATAATAATTTACTCGTTCCGTTTATTAGTTGCATGTGATTAGTAGAGAACACGTTTGCCCTCAAATTTCTCATGACTAATTCTCACTCTTTGCTCTGGAAGCACATAAGAGTAGAGAATATACCCCACACAGCTTTCTCCATGAGATATTTTATTATAAACCGCTAAACTACTGTGTTACTCTTTTTTTTACTAACATTATCGCAATAATGTCTTTCCGTCTAAAGCACAAGAAATCCTCATCAGAAACCTTTGGCCTAAAGAATCCACTGTTGAGCACTCTCAAAAGACCCAGGCCGTCTCTAGAACCGCTTAAAGACAGGAAACTATCGACAGGCGGCAAAGCCGACATTGAAGTTGTCGTAGGAATAGGTAATGCAATTGGCGTCTTAATCGAGTTTTGCATTGTGATTGATTACTCGATACTGATTCATATTTGTGTATTTCATTCTTAGACTTTGGGGCTACTTTCAGTAAGAATCAAATATGTATTCGTTGATAATTTGATCGAGTCGACGTCTCACAGAATGTTATTTTACAAGGTGGATTTGCGTACTCGTCATTACGAAATCCGGAAGAGATAGAAACAAATACTGACTGGTAATATGTCTGATCAAGCATGCATCAAAGCAAGCATGTCAATGCATCAAAGCACTAATTACCCCCTCTCCCTTAAACTCCACCAGGCCAGAAACAAAGGGACTGTTCAAAACACCCACCGCTTTGCAATACGACTCCTCATATACTCCCATCTATTGGGGTCAACCTGCATTGACTAATAATACACGGCGACGACGAAAGAATGAGGCTGATTCCCAGAAACCAGTAGAGTTATTCAAGCTGCATTTGAGTGTAGTTGATGATGACGACAAACCAGTACTGCCTCGGGGATTGGGATTTGAGAAGGTCATTACTGATTATTTGGCAGAGCTTGGAAAGGTACTACTTTTTTTTTTGGACCATATGTTGAATTGAGCGATATTTTCAGTGTTGTTCTAGTACCGTCTCGCCCATTTACAGATAGTCTCTTAACCTGACACCCCCCCTCCAATTTTTCTAATATCACGCCCTGTAGCTCATGAAATCAACCCTCGCATCTCACTGGCCACATTTAGATTACCAAACACAAGTTCTAAAGGTCCTCTCTATTCCTGCAGAGTATGGTGCTTCTCAGTTAGCAATAATGCGATCTTGTGCTTATAAGTCTGGACTGATTGACTCGACGAATTCGAATATGTTAGAGTTTATTAGTGAACGTACGTATGTAAGCTTTAGCGAGGGATGGAATGTTTTGGTGAGACGGCTGTGTCGTTGAAATGAGGGAACGATGAAAGGAGGTGAGAAAGTATACAGTAGTGGAATAACGATTTTAATTGTTTTTATTTTGTAGCAGAGTCTGCGGCTATTTATTGTATGAAAAATATCGAACAACATGGACTGAAAGTTGGTGGTAAGAAGAAAACGCAATTCAAGTTTCGAGTACAACTCACTAAAAACAATCGGTTGACCATATTATTGTCTCCTTTTCGTGATCCTTCCCCTCCTTGCTTACTCTACTTCTAAAAGACCTCTTCACAATAGTCGATTGTGGAGGTGGAACGACCGACCTAACAACTCGACGGCTGCTTTCAAACAGTTGTCTTTCAGAAGTAACCTTGCAACGCGGAGCACTCTGTGGTTCGTCGTACATAGATATCGAATTTCACTCTTTCCTAGCCCGCAAGCTTGGTTACCGCGCCGTGCAACGTCTTCGTGAAAACCATTACGGAGCCTTACAATACCTAACTCAGCAGTTCTTTATCAAAAAGATAAAAATTCCATTCAAGGGTGTCCGTTCCGAATTTCGTCCGATCGATTTGGATTTGGAAGAGCTGTGCCCAGAAGTCAAACAATATGTCACGGGAATAGAACGCGACTTAATGGAACAAGATGATTGGTTAATCGATGTAGAGTTTGACACAGTTAAAGAAATGTTTGATAAAGTTATCGAACAAATATTAGAGTTGATCGAAGAACAGTTGAATATGGCACCAAAGGATGTCAAGGCAATTTTTTTGGTTGGTGGATTTGGGGAGAATTACTACTTGCTTCGTAGAGTAAGAGAGAAATTTGAAGAAAAGGTGAAACTTATTGCAACGCCACTACAGCCAAGCGCGGCTGTTGTACGGGGGAACGTGTATTATGGTGAGTTGTATGAGAAGGGATTATGAACACTTGAACTTGCATAATATTAACTTTACAAAACTTTGTTTCATAGGTCTTCGAACGCATATGATCCTGACTCGCGTTTTGAAACACACGTATGGCGTCGAGATTTCTCGCAAGGCCAAAAAGTCTGACCCATCCGATCGCATTCTGCCCGATGGAAGCGTTCATGTCTTTCATAAGCTCGCTGAACGCGGGATGGAAGTCAGAGTGGATCAGGAGTTTACTTACGAAGCTGCGCCTGTGTGTGATGTCCAGGAAAAAATGAAGTTTGATGTGTTCAGGACGACCGAGAATAATGCAAACTATTGTAATGAATTAGGGATGAAGAAAGTTGGCGGTTTAGTTATCGGTGAGTATACAATGGACTAAATGCGTGACAAGGGGATTGTATGCTAAGCCCCACACTCTTATTATCGTTGCTTTGATAAAAAAGGTTTATTTGGTTTTTAACTTTATTCTTTCTTTTTTTTTTACTCTTGTGCATTTCACAGATTTACCTGATCTTCACCTTGGTCTGAAGCGTATAGTTCGCTTCTCACTCACATTTGGAGGGACTGAAATACACGCAAGCGCGAAAAACAAAAAGACAGGACAGGTTTATCATGCAAAGTTTGATGTTGAAATATGAAAGAATAGAATTTTAGATTAATTAATTGTTGGAGCTAATGGACTTTTTGTATCAAGCCATACAATATTAAATAGTTAAATATAAGTAATAATAAGAGGGGGGAAATTTTATTTGAAAAAAAAAAAACCAAAAAACCAAAAAACCAAAAAACAATCAAATATTGAAACGCTACAAGCGACTCGAATAACGAGTTTTGTCTAATATTGGTCGGTTTATTTTTGGTTGAACATACAATTTCAGAGCTACACTGTCGGGTCAAATACATACACGTTGTAGTATATTGTCAAAGTTTGAATTTTCAGCCGTTGTAAAAACTTGGAAGGCCTTGTTTTTGTTCTGTCTCATTATCATTCCTACCAAATCCCCTTTTCCTATTATTATTATTATGAAATGAAAGTTGATTAAGATCATTGTTTAACTATCCTGGGATTTTCTATAACATGTGGATCAAGTTACTATTACTGTAAATTCTTGGATTTAAAGGGGGCGATGTTAATATTAATTTTCAGAGAATAACTATATCGAGTCGAATCGCACATAATAAAGAATAAATGTTTATACTATTTTTGATTCAGGAAATACATAATATAAATTGAGGGCGCAAGGAATTCCTTGTCTTTATGGTTAGCAAATACCGAAAGATGTTGGATATTATTTCTAGGGCTTTAACCCGCTACGGAAATGTCGTGCCAGATGATAAAACCCAGATCGGTTCGGCCGGCGTGTGATATGATCGTGCGCTTGGATTTTGGATGTTGATGAGGCATCATCGGAAAAGACATCGCAATAAGAAGGTCTAATCACGACAGCACACTTGAGAGCATAGATCTTCATTTTGACCAGCATACACATTCATCGATCACCTCTAATCAACGGACGCGTCAATTACGCTGGTTTGAATAGAGAAGATACTTCAACAAATTCTCCGGTGCCACAGGCTACTACACAGTCAGTCTCGATAAGTCGGCCTCTCGATAAGTCGGTTTTGGCTTAAGTCGGCCAAAATCTTTTCTACGTTTTTTTCACTATTTAAAAATTCTCGATAAGTCGGTCAATCTATGTAAATTCTCGATAAGCTGTAAGTCGGCCAACAGCTCCAAACGAGTCTTAGTTGAATGCATCTCGATAAGTCGGCCTCACGTGATAGTTGTATAACGTAGCACATATTCCTTCAATCTTTAACTGGCGATCACAGCTCATACGATAATTAATAACAGATTACTTATTTAGAATCGTATGATGCCAATAATGTGTTAAACAAAAGTCGTCATTAGATCATACGATTAAAGCAGTAAACATGTCATTGGAAG